ACAAGACCTTCGGCGGATTCCTCAGCAGGAACCGATCACCCATCTCGGGTGATCTCGGCTCGCAGGCCACAACAACCCGGGGACTTCCTCGTTCTTCCCGCCCTGTCCTCCTTGCCACGCCCGGGACTCTCTGTGGGGCTGCAAAGAGGAAGAGGCCACTTCCTGGTGCACAAGAGGCTCTTGCCCAACTCCCAGAGCTCTGGGCTGGCCCAGCACCCCGCTTTTGCCGGAGACGGGGACCCCACCCACACCCAGAGGCCCGTCCCAACTTTTACACACAGACGTGCATTTCCCATCTGACCCGTTCTGAATATAAGATTCACCCTTCCGCACATCAAGGGTGGGGCCTCCCTGGCACCACTAGCGGGGTGAGGTGTGTCTCCTCTGGAGATGATGCCAGCCCCACCAGCTGTGCCCCCAGGGTCCCTCTGCTCAGCACCAGGCCTGCTACCTTCAGACATCCAGAGGCGACATGACAACAAGGGCGGACTTGCCGTCCCAAAGCCGGCCACCGTCTCAGGTGAAGGTCCCCGTTCTCCACTGAGAGGGACCAACCTCACCAGACTCTGGTGAGAACGATAAGCCTCCCCCGGGGCTCCTCTGGAATCCTGGCAGGGAAGACCCCTCGCCCATCAACACAATCCACTCCTCTTAAAGCCGAACAAAGGCTGCAAAGGTCTGGGCAGGCCAAGGGTCAGTCCAGAGAGTGGGATTCCTGGACACCCACCAGCTCACTCCTCACCCCCGCTGGGTGGTGGGCTTCCCTGAAGAGAAGAGCCAGGGAGGAGGAGAGGCCTGACCTGGGGGGGGGCTGAAGCAGCTTGGGGGCCAAAGGGATGGATTCGTCACCCACCGCTGGTCCAGGCCTGCATCTCCCGGGCCTTCCAATCCCAGGGGCCCAGTGCAGCTGGACAAAGCAGAGCCCGGCAGAAGGGGAGCAACAGCTGCAGTTGAGCCCCGGCAAAGAAGGCCCCCCCCTGAGCCTCTCGCCCCCCCCTATGCCAAGCCGGTTTACTTTCCAGAGGTCCCATCGGCCCCAGCAGCAGCAGCAGCAGCAGGAGGAATGCCTCCCACGGAGCTACTCTGCAGCTGAACCCGCTGCCCCAAAGGAGGGCTGGCCTCTCTCACTCTGCAGCTGCCCCCCCCATCAGTTTTTCCACGGCCCTCCAGCAAGATCTGCCGGTGGGAGCCAGCTGGACTCGGTCAGAGAGGAAAAACTCCGCTCAGAGCCTAAAATGGAGCATTCCTGCTCCCCTGGCAGCTCGGTCTGCCGTTAGCCCCACATGATCTCCTGGGTCCCTGGCGGATAAGATCCTCCCGCCTTTTGACATTACAGCTCTGGATTCCCATCTCGCTTTTCATCCAGGAGGGGAAAACAACCCGGAGAGAGCAGGAGAAATCTGAAAAAAACCCCCCCCCATTAATGCACGCCAGTAATTAACTTTGTCAACTTTTAAGAGGCTTGGACTTCAACTCCCAGAATTCCTCAGCCAGCCGGACGTCCACACCTCTGGAAGTGGGGCAGGTGGAGAAAAGGGGCCTGTGCGGGGAGGGGGCCCTGCTCTGAGACGCCCTGTTCTCCCTCCGGCCCTGTGGTCAAATGTTGCCAGCCCAACTTCTCTGTGGGAAACACCCCATTCAGCGTCTTCACAAGGATGTCATGCCGTGGCCTCCAATCACGGCTTGTAGAATAAACTAGAATGAGCTGAATCAATTCAAGAACCCCTCTAATGCAGGGGTGTCCAACCTTGGCAACTTTAAGACTTGTGGACTTCAACTCCCAGAATTCCTCAGCCAGCTTTGCTGGCTGAGGAATTCTGGGAGTTGAAGTCCACAAGTCTTAAAGTTGCCAAGGTTGGACACCCCTGCTTTAATGTGACCGAGAAATCACAATGTGAGTTTGTCTTGGATGACCTCAGCCAATCCAGGTTTCACACAATGCCTAATTCAAACATCGCATCAGACCACAATTGTTACTCACGCTCTCCTATTTTTTTCTTCGAGACCTTTCCCGGCGGCCTCCCTTAATTCTATCTCCCTAACGAGAGCCCCGAGGGGAACCTCTCAAAATGACCACTGATTGTGTCATAAAGGGGGGAGGCGGCGGGAGCCCCTCATGCACGGCTCCTCCCGGACAGAAACAAATTCACTGGACCTTCGGTGGGACATCGGAAGGCGGACCAGATGCCGGAGGAGACAGCGCAGGGCTGCTTACGGCCTGCTTAGCCAGGGGCCGCTTTTTTACGTGGCCCTACAAACCCCGATCTGTGGCCTGGCGTGATGGGCAAGGCCCAAGCCTCCTCCCCTGGGGGGGGGTCTCTTGCCTGAGCGGGGCGAACTCAACCGAGGCCTGGGGGCCTCATGGATCTGGGGCCAGGCCATGCTCAATTTCTGGAGGGAGGGAGGAAGCCAAAGGAGGAAACAGCCGAGGCCCACGGCCCCGGTCAATGGTCAGCGGTTCTCCCCGGACACCAGGAAGTGCCGGTTATTTCAACTCTGGGCCGTCCCCCCCCCAGCTGAGAGAACAAGAGCAGCCACCTTACATGAGAGCAGAGCGAAGGTGCCGAGGAAGCAGATGGGAACCCCTCTCCCCTTTCACCACAACTCAAAGGCCCCCCGGAGCCCCCGGCCGAGGCAGGGAGTTTGGGGTCTTGCAGGAGGGCAGGGGGCTTACCATCCTCGGGGGGGGGATGCTTGGCCAGACAGCAGGTGCTGTGACAGAGATTGTGCTCCCCAGCCACAGACGACATGGATCCAAAGGAAGCCGGCTCCGTCCCTTGGCACAGGGTGGGCAGGCGCTGGGGGGCTGTCAGGAGTGCCCCAAAACCCGGGAGGGCCAAGCTTGGTCAGGTCCCATTCAGAGCCAACAGACCCCGAAGCAGGACTGCATACTAGCCCTGAGGGGCTTCATCTGCCTACCGCACAGATGATCCCAGACCCCACAGTGACCCCCACCCGGCCCAGGAACCTCCTGCAGCTGTCAAACGAGAGCATCAACCGGCGGCACCCCACAAATCAGGGGCTTTGCGCTGGACCCCTCCTCCCAAAGACCAGTGGCACCTTGCTCCCCTCACCCCAGGGACTCGGGACTAGGAACAACGGAAGGGAAAAGCTCCGAGAGGTCAAGCAGGGCCGGGAGAGTGACCCCCCCCAGCAATGCCACAGATCACCCACCCATGGGATTGATGCCACCTCAGCTCTGTGTTCGGGTTTAAAAGAACCCATCGGGCCCCCGGGTGATCTAACAGATCCTGCATGGGGGAGGGAGGGCGCACCAGCAAGCCCAAAGGCAACATGGGGAGATCTCTCAGCGTGAGGCACATCTAATTGCAGGGAAGGATCGAAGGGACCCCCACCGCCTTTGGGTCACGGACAAAAAGAGACTGAGGCTGCCCCCTCCAATCTACATCGGGCCCTCAATGCTGTGGGACACCTACACGGGTCAGGCCACGCAGGGGACGGTCAAGGGCCAAAGGCTACCACCGTGCTGGGGAAGCAATTATGACTAGCCCCCACTGCAATCCAGCCACTCAGGGAGGGGTGAGGCTGCCCGGTGGCGGGAGGGCAGGGCAGCCACAAGCACCCCACTCCCCCCCTGTCCTAGGCCCCAAGGGCTCCCACTGGTCATCTCTGGCACCCACCCAGGCTGCCTTCGTGGCCCCTGCCTCCTTGACCGCCACAAGTGACCAGGGCAATTCCCGGCTTGCAAAGGGGTCAGGTTCAAAGGTCGACCCAGATGCTGCGGGAGGGGGGGCGGGGGGGGCACCAAGCCTCCTGACCGGCTGGGAGTCTCCCACTGACCGCTGAGGCAATGGGGATGCCCCGGGCCTTGTGCTGGAGAGACCCGACAGCAACCTTCCACTCTCTCTTGCCACGGGAGCACTAGCGCGAGCCAAGTGTGCCCCAGGGCAGAAATTCCGGGAGCCAGCAGGCCCAGTGGTTGCAGGAAGAAGCTGCTCCCCTGCCTGCCTCGGGTGAGTCACTCCTCCCCAGGAAGAATCCGGTTCCTCCTTGGCCCTCCACCTCGGCTCCTCTAGGGAAGCGACCTGCACAGGCCCCTGGATCGCCCCACAAGGGGGGAGGGGTCAGCCAGCCACACGCAGGACACCGGCTGAGAAAGGCATGCCCGTCTGCAGCAGGGAACACACGCAAAGCAGCCCTGGGGACATTACTGCCACACGCGTGGGCACCTTCGCTGACCCGGGTACAAGGGAGGGAGGCAGGAGCCACAACCGAGAAGGCCCTGCTGCGGCTCCCCCGGAGGGCCCAAGGGGGGCCGAGCCGCCCTCCCTGCAGATGCCAGCAAAGCAGGAGAAGGCAGCGCCAAAGGGAACAAGAGGGGGGGGGGCAGCTCCCCTCGCCACCAGCCCCGCCCGGGAGCAGCTCCCTCCCACTGGGGGTCGGGGGGGGGCGAGGGGCGGGAGGGGGCCTCGGTGGACAGAGAAGGGCTGCCCGGGCTCCAGCCGCCCCCCCTTTCCGTGCGGTCCAAGCCCGGAGGTCCCCGCCGCCCGGAGGCGCCCTGACGGCGGCGGGGCTCCCTGAGCGGCGGGTGCGCGGACCCTGCCCCGCCGGTTCCCAGATCCGCAGAGCCTCCGCTCGCCCGTCGGTGCCGGGAGAAGCGCTTCCGCAGGGAGGGCGCAGCCGGCTTCAACCCGAGGGGCGGAGAGAGCGGGGCGACCTCCTCCCCGGGACCCCCGGTGGCTAAGCTACAACTCCCATCGTCCCGGGAGGCGCGGATGATGGGCACTGTAGTGCAGCCCCTCTCTCCGGGGGGGGGGCGGGGAAGCGGCCGGCAGGCGGAGAAAAGTCCCAGCCGCTTCTTCGAGGGGGCGGGGCACAGTAGGGGGCGTGTCCGAAGCGCACAGCCTAACGGAGAGGGCGGAGCCTGCAGGCAGAAGAGACCCGCTGGGGGCGTGGCCGGAGAAGTAGGGGGTAGGGGGGCTTCGGAGGAGGCGGAGCGGCGGCGCGTGGCTGGGAGGGGGCGTGGCCGAGCACCTCACCCGCTTGCGTGGTGTCGCTGAGGTCCCAGCGCCGAGCCGCTCCTCCGGGGAAGTGCCTCAGCCGCCGTCCCGCCAGGCTCAGGCTGCCCGAGGCCACCGCTTCTTCCAAGGCGCGCTCGGGGCCCGGGAGGGGCCCGGGCAAGGAGGGGGAGGGCGGGGGCAGCGAATCGGCCCCGCCCTCGCCCGCCGCCATCCCGTAGGCTCCGCTGTTCCCGCTGCGGCCGTCGGGCGCCGAATGAGAACAGGGAGGCAGAGACGGCGAGACCCCAGCCAAAGGGGGCGGTGCTGGAAGGTTCGCGTTCGCCTATGAGAGGCCGGACATGCGGGAAGCGGCCAATTAGAAGGGACCTTGCCGAGCCGTTCCTCGCCCCAAAGCCAATCCCCTTTAAAAGAGCTGCCTGACTCTTCCTCCTTTTGCTCCAATCGGACGCCCGTGATGGAAGGGAGCTGGGACGTCTGCGAAAGCGTCTCGGTCCAGCCAATCGCTTACGAGGGAAGCAGATTTCCCCCCCCCGGATCCAACTGGCCTGACTGACACGTGAAACTGCTGCGCACGTGCCTCCGTCGCCCTATCAAATTCAAGGAGGCAGGGAGGGAAGCGATTGGCTCAGCTGGCGAGCCGGGAAGGGGCGTATCACGGCGCGCAGAAGCGAGCGAAGGCAGGCCTCCTTCTGACGGACGGCTGAGCCTGCCAATCAGGAGTCGCTCGGCTCCTGGCGGCTAGCGGTTGAAAGCCGGGCGCGCGGCCGAGGGGGGCGTGATCAGCTGCGATAGGGGAGAATGGCAGCCACGGCAGCCAATCATCGGCCTCACGCGCCTCTTAGTGCACGGGTAGGGAAGCTTGACGACCAATCGGAACAAAAGGCGCCTCTTGGGAGGCGGGCTCAAGCCTGTGGAAAGGCCCGGAGTCGGGAAATGGAGAGAAATTGGGGCGGGCGTGGGGTCCTCGGGGCATACGCAGAGCGCCTCGGCCGGATGAATAATCCGCTGTAGCCCTCCGCAGGCTGGCCAATGACTCGTCCTGTGCGGAGAGGAGGGGGCAGCCCGAGGGGAAACGTTGGCGGTTCCAGACTTTTAAAAATGATTGTTTAGATCTTTTTTTAAAAAAAAAAAATCCCACCTTTATTAATAATCCAGAAGATGCCTAACCCTCCCTGAAATGGTATAGTCTCTCCCGCTTGAACAGGGGGGCTGGACTAGATGACCTCCAAGGTCCCTTCCAGCTATTCTATTCTCATTTCTATTCCTATTCTATTCCCTCCTCTATTCACCCACCTCCCCAACAACAACAACAACAGCCCTGAGGCCAAGAGGGGGCCTGGCCCAGCCAGCTTCCGGTCCAGTCTGGATTAGAACTCGGTCCCCTGGCCCCGACCTAGGAGCGGCGCTCTTTCCCTGGACAGCCTCTCTGAAGCACAGAGTCACTCAAAGGGGGCTCAAGGACCGGGCTTCTCGACCTTTTGGCCCAGAAAAGGCTGGCAAAATGCTTTTGCCTGGAATGCTTCCCGCCTGTGCGGGGGGTTGGGCTAGATGACCTCCCAAGGTCCCTCCCTGCACTGTTATTCTGGCCCTTTTAAGAGGGGTGGGCTCTGCTGGCTGGGGAATTCTGGGAGTTGAAGCCCTCCCCCCTCCCCCCTTGAAAGGCAATTCCTCTCTTCCCCGGATGGGAGCTTCCTGCTCCCTGGGAAGCGGGTTGAGCCGCAGGGGCCGGTGGGGCTGCCCCGGGGTCTCCCCCAGACCCCCCCTCTGCCTCCAGGGAGGGCGGCCGGCTGGGCTGAGAGGCAAGACGGGAGCCGCCCGTGACAGACGGCGGGGCTGACAAGGACGCCCTGATTTGGGGGGGGGCTGGGCACCCCTCGCTGGGGGGACATTCTTTTTTTTTTTTACTTTTTTAAAATTTGTATTATTTAAACCAACAAAACAAAACATAACACACATATATACACAGTATATATTTTAACAGCAATTTCGTAACAGTAATCTTCTATTATTTACATTTCCCCCCTTATTCTTCTTTAGAGTATTTGTCCTTGTTGCCCCATTATTTCTTATTTGCATTTTTCTTCCTTCATACATTATTATACACACATTTTCCACTTTTAACCTTTCCACATTTATTCTCTCTTTATTCTATAACATACAGGTCTGGCCTTTATTCCTGGACTGGGCCAGGTTGGTTAGCCTGGCTTCCCTCCCGAAACCAAGGGCCTTCCATGCTGCTTTAGGCTGTGATTTCCGCCTCCTCCGAACAATAAGTGGGAATGCTGGACGTAACGTCTAATACAGGCAGCCCTCGACTTACAACCACAATCCCAACACTTCCGTTGCTAAGCAAGACCGCTAAGTGAGTTTTGACCCATTTTCATGACCTTTCCACAGCAGTTGTTACGTTAGTAACACAGTTATGTGAATCTGGCTTCCCCATTCTGACGTGGCTGGCCAGAGGGTTGCGAAAGGTGGCCACGGGACATTGGGACAGTGGCCAGATTTTGATCAGATGACCACAGGATGCTGCAACAGTCATGTGAAAAATAAATCTCTTTTTTTTAGTGCCGTGGTAGCTTTGAATGGGGACTAAACGAAGGGGTGCAAGCCAAAGGCTACCCATGCACCGTGAAGTGGGAGAAGACCCCTTTTGGGAGCAGCTGAGGGGCGTGGCCTTGTGTGCCACGGGGGTTACTCTTCATCAGTGAATCGTCGGGCCCCGTCCCTCCGTGCCCCCCGTGCTTCCTTGTGCACAAAAAGGGCCAGGTGGACGCTCGGTTCCTCTGCCGTGCAGCCCTGTGCCCAGTTGCTGGCTCGGAGAAGGATGTTTTCTGCTGTGCCACCCATCCAGCCAGACTCTCCGCCTCAGTCATGGCGGTAGCACTGCAACATTTTGTTCCTTGAACAAATTGAGACCAGAGGAAGAAAAAGCAAGAGCTTCTGAACTGGGTTCATGGTGGCTGGGGGGGGGGGGGGGGGGGGGGGGGGAGGGGTTGTGGGTGGCTGTTTGAACTATACCAGGGGTAGGCAACCTTGGCTCTTTTACGACTCGTGGACTTCAACTCCCAGAATTCCTGAGCCAGCTCAGGAATTCTGGGAGTTGAAGTCCACGAGTCGTAAAAGAGCCAAGGTTGCCTACCCCTGAACTATACAGTTCAAGTTGCAGAGTGATTATTGATTGAATTGTTCGCAACTATTGAGACTTGTATACACCCACAGCACGATCCATCTGACGAAAGGAACTGCAGATCGTGAAAGTTTAGGCTTTTCCACGGACTGGTCCGTCTGGATCCCTGCTGCCTTCCGTCCACTAGGATGGCTCTACCCTGACAACTGCAAGTGAGTCTCGTGCTGTGTCTTTCTACTCCACTCTGTTCCCTTGTGCCCCAGCCGCCTTCCTCTTCTCGGGACGCCCCTGCCGCTGCCCACGGAAGGGGCAACTCCAACCCCTGTCGGACCCAGCAAATGGCAGGAAAGCATTCGTGAGGACGGCCACTGATTCGGGGATGGAAAGCCAGAGTGCCAATGATGGAGGAGAATATTCGTAGCTCGGGGTCGAAGGCCAGAGGGGCAGCTCCTGGTGGCGAGTGGATGAGGCCCGGGGCCAGCCCAGGAGGTGGAGAGAACCCGAGTGGCCCAGAGCCTGCGCACGTAATGTTCTCGGGAATGTGAGTCTGCCTGGAACCCCGGCAGGCTCTAGAACCCCCCAGTTCTCTGCCAAGGCAGGGAATCCAGCGGGTGGGCAGAGCTTTCCACTGGAAGCTGAAGTCAGCCGTGGGTCCAGGGAGAGCCAGTTGCTCTTGCTGATCACCTTGGATATCTTTTTGACAAATGCAAATATTTCCACAGTGTTTTCAATACTTTAAAACGTAACCTTCCCAATCACTTAATTCCCTCTACACCACCCCCCCCAAGAACTTAGAGGGATAAAGCCAATCCCTCCCAAAGGCTGCAAGTAGCACTGGCTGCAATGAAGAAAAAAACCGAAAGAGACTCCTGTCTGTCAGCCGCCCTTCAGATTTCATGACGGCCCCAAATGCAGGGTGGGAACAGCTCGGTCAGGACCTCTTAACTAGAAAACTCACGGTGGCGATTTCAAGACCGGCTCCTGCTTCCTGCCCCTTAACGTCCCTGAACCTCTGTGTGCAGCAGTTTGGAAGAAACCCAGCCCGGGAACCGCCAGAGCCACCGTTTGAGGGATCCCTGCCCCTCAGGCTCATCTTTGGCCCTCAGGCTAGCTGGCTCTCTTGTGTCCGGGTCACAGAGCAGGTCCCCAGAGGGGCGCTGATGTCACAGTGCCCCAGTTACCAGGGGAAACCCAGTCTCTGTGAAGCCACTGAGACGGCCATTATCACCTAGCGCTGTGTCCCCCAGGGTGATAGGCTTTGTGGGCAGAGGCATTCAAAAGCCTTGGCCATGCTGGGCTCAGCAGCAAGGGTGGGTCTGAGAGCTCAGCCCCACCAGCGCACAGCCCACGTCTGGGCGGGCAGACATGAGCGACAGGCGCATCGCCCGGAAACTCAGGAGGAGAAAGCCTCCACGCTTCTCCCTCGTCTCTAGCACGGAAGAGCCGCTTGGAGTGAGCATTTTGACCCCGGGGCCTGGAGGAGGAAAACTATGAGGAAGTGCTGGGGGGGGAAGGGGGGGCAGCAGGAAGATGCTGAAGAAGGGGGAGTCTCTCTCTCTCTCTCTCTGAGCCTGGCCTGGAAAATTTCCACTTCTCCCCTCCTCGTTTGCATATGCAAATCGATTTGCAAGCATTACGCACCTTCCTTTAAAGCTGGAGAATTCCATAGGGATGGACTTTTGTTGCAAATGTTGTAACCTTTAATCGGAACAAGTTAGTCAGGCCTCCGCTACTCACAATCTTTTGCAAAAACCTTGACAAGCAGACTCGTGTGGGGTCTGGCAAATTCGACTGACCTTATTTCAAAACAGTTTTTTACATCCAAAGTAACAGTACAACAGAGCAACTGAAAAAAAAAAAAAAAAAAAAAGGTAAACTTGTCCTGAGCATGCAAAAAAAGTCTTGTGAATCTGCCATAAGGAAGTTGAATTGCTTGGAAATTAAGGCGCTTGCTCTTTACCTGGTCAGTCCTGCCACCTGGTGCCCATTTTAGGAACTGCACCCGGAACTTTGCCTTCCCCTTCCCTTCGTCTGGCCCAGAAGCCACTGTGCCCACTGGCTTAATTGCTCATGGTGGCTTC